CAGGTACTCGGGGTCAATTGGGAACCCCTCACAGGCCAGAGGCCAGAGACGGGACCCCATTCTCCTCACCGGATCCCAGCCCCAACGGATGCAAGTCCACGCTATCATTGATTGCATGCAAAGTGCGAGCACTCGTTGGTCTGGATATTTTGGCTGGTGGCTCTCAGCTGCTGCTGGAAGCAATTCCGGTAACGTGGGCAGGTTTCCCGCTAGAGACTCTGGGCAGGCCCTCCCCCCGTAAATCATCTCTGAGCAAAAATCGCCGACTTGACGGAAGAATTGTTCACAGCGCCGGACCTGGCCCGCCCTCGGGCATCGTGCCAATCTTCCAGCGAAGTGGCTTACTTGCCATGTTTTCAAGGGTCCTGGACGACCATACTAATTGATGCCATGCGCGCACATCGTAGCTGAGGGAGATGTTCCTGCCCTTGATTGGCATTTCTTCCTGACTTCTTTTCCATGTAGTCACAGACACGGCGAGAGAACGGAGACAACCTCTTGAACTTTGAAACTTTTTGTGATTTGGAAATTGACACCGCTAATCCTGCCCACCCAATAACCCGATACCAACACCAGCAGTAATCGCTTCATCCCCAACACGGACACAAAAAGTGGCAGCATACCAGCAGCAGCAACAAACAAAACAGGAACGATGGAAAGCTGTAGGAAGCTCATGAAACGATTCGCCCGTATTTGCTTTTTGGTTTGATCGTAAGGCAAGCCTCTCTTTTGTCTTGTTCCTTTCTTCTTCCCATTTTAATTTTTTTCTGTTTCGCTTGGCTTGCTCTGGAAACGCGCAAGTGCGCGCTGTCAAGCCAAGATTGTCGAGTTTCTTCGAAAAGGGGGAAGAATTTTGAAGTCGGTCGCCCGTCCCAGTCTCTCACTCTCTCTTCTCTCGTCATCCGAAACCCGTGGTATCATAGTCTGCCAGTTTCTTTGCCTTCTCACTCGCACACTCAAAAAGGGGATTACCGTGAGGGTGTGTGTGTCTTCATTGTGAAGACAATTCCACCCACACAATGGGATTCCCGGTGGCAATCTCATCACTCAACAAGATGGAAGACAACATGTCTCACACTTTCTCATCATCATACACACAAAATGGGCACACGTAGATGGCCACCCAGAGGAAGGGGAGGTGAGATCCATCTTTACACCTTATCCAAGCGGTTCTTATAGGTGTTGGACCAGACGTCCCGGCGAGGTTTGAAGAGTCGGGTGAGGCCAAAGTAGGGCGTGTTGATGGGGCTCTCGCCGGTGAAGATGAAGACGTCGTACAGGAAGCCGCCAAAGAGGGTGCCGAAGAAGGGGGCAACCATGGGGATCTATGGAAACGGGATATTAGTCACGAGAACTCAGGAGAGGGGAGACGAATTCGCCACACGACGGCTTTTTCGGCCCCGTGAGGAAAAAAAGGGGCCGAGGCAGGAAAGGATCCTTCTGCTTACCCAGAAATAATATCCACCGGCGGACCACACATCAGACCCGTATCCGACAATGTACGAAACCAGGCGGGGGCCAAAGTCACGAGCCAGGTTGATGGCGTAGCCCGTCTCCCAACCAAAGCAGGCACCAATGCCGAAAATGAGGAAGAAGAGGGCCAGGGGCATAAAGGGGCCGGCGGCTCCGTTGGTCGGGTCGGCGAGGGCGAAGATGCAAAACATGAGAATGGTGGACGCGACAATTTCCGAAAAGAACATGCCCGTCCGGGTCATGAAGGCGGCTGGGTACGTGCAAAAGATGCCGGCCGACGAGTTGACGCCTCCGACGGTGCGGATGCCATGGCCGCCCTCAAAGTTGTCAATGGCGCTTTTGTAGTTTCCGTACACAATGAAGGCGCCCGCCATGGCGCCCAGGAGCTGGCCGATGAAGTAGATGGGGAACTTTCGCCACGGGTGGCCGCGGTATACGCAGTTGGCGAGTGTCACTGCTGGGTTGAGATGACCGCCGGATTTCTTGCCCACGTAGACGCCGAACATAACTGCCAATCTATGACCCATGAGTTAGTACTCAGTTCTTGTCTCCTACTCTCCTCCTCTTCTTCTTTCAAGATCTCTCTCCAAGAATTTCACAATGGAAACCCGCGCTTGTGAAGTACAATCGCAGGAATGGAATATGAAAACTTACCCCCAACCCCAGGAAATACTCTGGTAGTCACCCTTGGTGTTGTTGCTAAGAACGACCTGAGCAACGACACCGTCGCCAAAGAGGATCATAATCATGGTTCCAAAGAACTCAGAGAAACCATCCTGGCAGTTCTCGCGGACGCGCGACCACCACAGCTGCTCCTCCTCGGGGTGAGGAGGAAGCATGCTGCCGACGGCGTGCTCCTCGTGGGTCTCTTCGCCTCCCATGGCGTGTTTAAAGGTTGGAATATGCTGCTTGCCGACGGACGACGACTCTGACACCGATTCCGCTGCAAGGTCAGGGTTAACCATTAGAACCCGATACGATAACGACACGATTCCCTCGACGGACGGAGGAAGGCTCGAAGAAAATGAGATGGACGGATGAGTGAGAGTGAGAATGGACTTGAGAAGAAGAGATGGAGAAGGAGAAAGGAAGAAAACGCGGGGACGGTGAGATGGAGATGAAGATGAAGGGACGAGACTGGGCGATGGCCTGGACAAGTATCATCCCACGTCCTTCCCGTGGGGAAGAAGCATCTTCTTATGGTCCCCACGGGCTCGTGGTAGTCCCACGGGGCTGGACACCGTTGCAACCAATCCACCGGGTTTGACAATCATTCTTTGGGGAAAAGAGGGAGAGGGGGACCTTGAGATGGGGCGGGGTGTTGATGCTGGGGAGTGAGACGTTGGAGTGGGAGGGGGGGTAGGGCGGCGTATACGGTTTCGCCAAACGGAAATCATGGACGCTTACCCATCTTTGGTCACTTTGCAGTTGGCAGAGAAGATTTGTGTGCTTGATTTGACACTTTTTTTCTTCTTCTTCTCTTCTTCTTTCTCCTCCCGCGGGTTAGGGGTGTTGCGATTTTGTGGAGATCTGGACCGAGATCACTGATGAAGAGACTGATTTTCCTCCGGGATTCTACGACGCTTGGGACACAACGACCTGCGACGGCGGCGACGGATAGGAGATTGGCTCGCTCCTTTGGCCTCCACAATTCCGGATATCTGGAATCACCGACAGTTCGGGTCCTGGATGAACGACCTCGGTGATACGAAAAGGAAGAAAGAAAGAAAAGTCGACAACGGTTCCTAAACGGGATTCGTGCGTTACGGGTCTCGCGGAGAGATGGAGATTGGCATGTGGGATGGGGAGACGGAGAGGGAGAAGACTCGACGACGAATGGATGGGGACAGGTGCGAAAGGAGGAGGGAAAAAATCGAACGATGTGGGCGGGTGAGATGAAAGTCGCTCAGTTTGTGCGTGTATCCGGCTCGGTCAGGTGTGTGTCTGTGTGAGAGAGAGGGAGAAAAAGAGAAGAAGATGGACGAAGGTGGGACAAGGGGGATATGATGCAGTTCGGTGGCTCACACCGAAGTTGAAGCGGTTTGACGGCCGAGATGGACGAGATGTGTCGCTGTCGCCGGACGGCGGCCGAGACTTTGATGAAGAGGAATTCTGGACCTGTGCTGGCTTGGGGTGGTGCTTCTTCTCTTCCTGGCCTTTCCCACCCCGCTCATGAAAGAAGGGACTCCCTTCTCCGGGGTTGCGCCCAGGCAGATGGGTGTGCGTGCCGAACGGATCAGGAAAAGGAGGTACTCTGTCTTCGTGGATAAGCAGACGAGAGACGCACAGGTTGCGCAATGTAGAGGTACGGAAACGATGAAGCTTCTCCACCCGCGCCACTGATGGGCTTCACTCCCCCGGCAAGACGAATGTGTGTGTGAAATGCGGCCAGGGGAAGGACTAAACCCTTCGCAACCTCGCATGGGATGAATTATGTGGTTCCTCAGAGGTAAGCTTCTGGGGCAGGTTCCCACGTGTGGAGAGGGGCGAACGGCGTTGAGAGGCGGAGTTTTGAACAAGAGGAGCGGCGCGTGAGGTTGAAGGATGTGGGATTGAGTAACAAAAAAAAAGAAGAGGGGACTTCTTCTTTGGTCCGGTCAAGGAGGCTGTGGACTCGTGGAGTGGTCGCGTGGTGGACTTGACGGTGGATTTGAGGTTAGTTTTCGGTGCGTCTTCCGAACCAAAGGACCCAGTTTGAATGAATCCTTCCTAATCGTTGTCAAAAGTATCGAGACGGGAAAGGGAAGAAAAGGCTGATTACGCGGGGCCAAGTCGTCGTATGCAACTTAATTCTCTTGCTTGTTTCCAGTCAGCTTCCCCGGGCTCTGTCCAGTCACAGACATAATCTGGGGGAGATCGGGGGTTACCTACCAAAAGTCTCATGACCTACCATAGCTTGTCCTGCTCCCTGGGTTGCCGATTCATCAGTAAAGCCGAGTTGGAACTTTGACTGATGAGATCGGAAGGTTGCCTCTTCCATGATGCATCCCTGGGCCATCTGGGGCTCGGGCGATGGCCGCCAAGGGTCCATAGAGAGGGTGGAGCCGCCCAAGGGCCAAATCTGACAGTGTCACAGTGACGAGCGGGCGAGCCACACCACACCCAAACTACTCCGTACGTAGTATGTACCCAGCCGCGGCAAAAACGTCATACACGAAGGGTACGCCTATCATCATTGGTGGTGGTGCCGAGGTGTCGACCGAAGAAAGAGAGACGGACTGCTTCCCGTTGAAACCCATTTGCGGCTCATTTTTCCCTCCGTCTCTCCTTTTCCGCCGGCCAAGGTTCCAGCGTTCTTCCATTGATGCGAGCCGTCCACAACCAGATGAGGAAAAGACGAAAAAAACTCTACACGGGGAGCCGAGGCCACAATGAGTCCCCTTCTCTCCTCGGCAGCACTGGCAGAAAATCTTGTTGGACCCCGCCTCCAGGCAAACCCATTCCGTTCAAAGCTCCCAAGCAAGCCGGGCCCGGTGTCGTTTTGGTCTGCTTCGTAACGGGACTTTCGCTTCTTTCCCCGCAGTTGGCTACTCGAAATTGGACAAATGAGATGAAAGGTGGGAGGGCGGGTGCAACGTAGTGGAGGGGAACCAGGTCAGCGATGTGAGAAATGGTTTGTCGGTCTTGTCCCGCTTGTGACAAGACGATGGGCGGCAGGGGGGGGTGCAATGGTGTTCTTCTCGAAACGCATGCAGGCCGGCAAATGGTTTGGAGCCATTGCCAATGGATTCTTGGGGGGCTGCTTCTGCCATTGCTGCAATATTCGGGATGGCCCAGGAAGAGAAGACACCATAGTCCAGAGTCCAGACTCTTGATCGGAGTGAATGGCAGATTAGCTTGTTGGTTCGTTCGGCCACCGCTTCTATCGGTGGCGCTGGAAACTCGTCGCAATTGTCGCCTATGGTTGGTCGGTCCGCGCCGAATCCCATTTGCCGCTGGCCACAACCATTAATAAGACACGAATAGGAACACGGCCTCGTCGGGACGGGATTGCAAAGATCCCCGGCCCGGCGTCTTTGCCTTTTCCATGCTGGTCGTGTCACCTGTTCGTGTGCGCAAATAGCAGCAGCAGCAGCAGCAGCAGCAACTAACCGCAGAACTAGTAGCAAAAGCCCAGGAAAGGCCCAGCAGCAAACCAGAGGCGCAGGCACCGCACGCGGGCGCGGAGGTGGCCGCTGCATCCTTCTCCCGTCCAGCTCTAGCCCATGTAGGCAAGGCCACAAGCGCATCTATTCTGCTCGACCAGTGACCTGCCAAGGTGCTGGTTAATAGTCCACAAGTCCACAGAGGAGTCGAGGTAGCATGCCGTCTGCTCGTAGTCGACCCCGCTTTCTGGGGCGAGTCTCGGGCCACCGGTGCTTCATAAAGAGATAAAGGCCGGCATACGGCCGGACCCACCGAGCCTCCGTGGGAGTTCGCCGACGCAGACCGAAACTGCTGCTGTTGCAGTGCGACCTGGAATGACATCAACCCCATCACGAGGTGATCCGGCCCCCGTCGTCCTCCACCTTTGCTCGCTGCTCACGGCCGACCTTGCCTGCCAATGTCGAACAATGACCGAACTAACTCGGGGCGTCCACCCCGAACATCGTTCCCCAACCTTCTCGTATACTTACCAACCTAATACGGGTCAATCAGCTGTCAAGGTTGTCTGCAGACCACAGAGTCCACACCCTTGGTATCTGTACAGAGTCCGGAGCAATGGTAGGCATGCGGACAGACATACGGATACAGACAGACAGACAGACAGACAGGTTCCATCTCTCGTTCCGGGTTCTCGCGTGGAAGGATTCGGCGGCCTGTCAGATTCTCTAGAACGCTTCCACGCAACCCCGTTCGATCCGTTCGCATTTCCCCAGTGGGGATGGTCTTGCATCCGGGGCCCCCCCCTTTCCCTTTTGACAGACCAGCGGTTTTTTTTCCCTCCTTGACCCAAGCCCAGCTCCTTGGTGCTCATCTCGTGACATCTCCACACGATCTGGGGATGGGGTAAGAGAGATGCATGGGAATGAGGGGTAGCTCTCGAAGAAAGCTGTTTGTTCCCCATGGAGGGAGCTAACCCGACACACCGCGTGCCTTTTGCACATCCGAGACTGGAGCTGCTGCTGAAGAGCTGGGGAGATTTCCACATGTGCGGCACCTACAAATATTTTTGTCAGCCCGTGAAAACTTTAGTCTTTCGTCGTGTGTCTCTCACTTCCTTCTCCTCATTCCGTTCCTCAAGATACCCAAAATCGTCCGTCCCTTTCTCTTCCCTGCCGCTGCCACGCCACGTCGCTGCCGTGTCTTTGAATGCTCTCGTCTCTGCTTCCCGGCCGATTTAAACAAACTTTAGACAACATGTCTCCCGCTTCTGTAAAGGGGGGCGCTGGCTCCAACATCTCCTTCGTCGGTGCCATCGACCAGGGCACCACGAGCACCCGCTTCCTCATCTTCAATCCCCACGGTGAGGTCGTTGCGACTCACCAGCTCGAGTTCAAGCAAATTTACCCCAACCCAGGGTAAGTCATTCTCATGCGACCTCCATTGGCCCATTATAGCTATTTGCGCCGAGTAAGAAATTAACCCCATCGCGACAGCTGGCACGAGCATGACCCCGAGGAGCTCGTTTCTTCCGTCGAGACGTGCATTGACGGTGCCGTTCAGGCCTTCGAGACCCAGGGTCACTCCCGCGATCAAATCAAGGCCGTCGGCATCACCAACCAGAGAGAGACCACCGTCCTTTGGGACACGACCACCGGCAAGGCTCTGTACAACGCCATCGTCTGGACCGACACCCGTACCAAGGATCTCGTTCGCCGTCTGAAGCAGCGTCTCGGTGCTAGCGAACTCACCCAGCGATGCGGTCTTCCCCTCTCCACATACCCCTCCGTCGGCAAGCTCCTTTGGCTGCTGGAAAACAGCCCAGAGGTCAAGGATGCCTACGAGCGTGGCGTTTTGGCCTTCGGTACCATTGACACCTGGTTGGTCTACAAGCTTAACGGCGGTATCGCGCGCGATGTTTACGTCTCGGATCCGTCCAACGCGGCCCGTACCATGTTCATGAACATTCACACTCTTCAGTACGATGAGGACCTCATTGATTGGTTCAGAATCGACCCCAAAAAGGTCAAGCTCGCCAAGATTGTTCGTTCTTCTGATCCCGAGGCGTACGGTACCCTCCACAACACCATTCTCAGCGGTACCAAGATCACTGGTTGCTTGGGTGACCAGTCCGCTGCTCTGGTCGGACAGAAAGGCTTCACGGCCGGTCTCGCAAAGAACACCTACGGCACGGGTTGCTTCTTGCTCTACAACATCGGTCCCAAGCCCGTCATCTCATCCCACGGTCTCTTGACCACTGTCGCATTTGACTTCGGCCCCGGCAAGACCATGTATGCTCTCGAGGGTAGCATTGCTGTTGCCGGATCCAGTGTCAAGTTCCTCGTCGACAACTTCGGCTTCATGGAGTCTTCCTCCAAGCTTAGTGCACTCGCCGAGACGGTCGAGGACAACGGTGGTTGCACCTTCGTCACCGCTTTCAGTGGCCTATTTGCGCCGTACTGGATCGACGATGCTCGCGGAACCATCTTTGGTATTACCGCCTACACCCAGCGTGGCCACATCGCCCGCGCTACCCTTGAGGCCACCTGCTTCCAGACCAAGGCCATCTTGGACTCCATGGAGAAGGACAGCGGCGCAGCACTGACTGAGCTTGCCGTTGACGGTGGCATGTGCAACTCTGATCTCGTTATGCAGGTAAGAATAGGACCCCCCGGACCTTATCCGAGCCTCGGGCGGAGAAAAGAAGCTGACCCATGTAATAGACCCAGTCCGACATCATTGGCATCCCTGTCAACCGCCCAGGCATGCGCGAGACCACCGCCCTCGGCGCGGCCATCGCGGCAGGCTTCGCTGTGGGCGTCTGGAAGAGCTTCGACGAATTGAAGGACGTCAATCTCGAGGGCCGCACCATTTTCAAGCCCCAGATCTCCAACGAGGACGCCTCGGCGCGGTTCGGCCGCTGGGAGAAGGCCGTCCAGATGAGCAAGGGCTGGTCAAGCTAAAAGGGTTATTCGGGAGTTCTTCACATGATAATGTCTTCTTTTTTACTTCTCGATATACCATAGTCTGTTGTTTGGGAGGTCCAATCACGATGGCGCATGCGCATGCGATCCGGCGCAATATGGAGAAAATCCAATCTGTATCATAGGTAGCACGGCAATATGACGCATTTTGCCTCTGTCGGAAACTCGGTTTTGTGCGCCGGAAGCTGGCTCTTTTGCCCTGTCCAGTGATGCAAGCTTTTGGAAGAACGCCAAGTCGACGGCTTCAGGGAAAGCCGTAGTTGCATCGCTGTCTCGACCCGTCTCCACGTGCGCATGTTCCTTGTAAAATCCGGATGATCGGAGCGGAAATCGTCGTCCATGACCCCGTTTGAACTCCGAACTGAGTCGTGAAGTAGGCAGAAATGGTATGTAGTGACTTCATCGCCATCCCCAGCCTGTTGCGCGGCCTTCTTCCGAAGAGGGAAGGAAAAAGGACCCCTCATCTCCCTGTGGATGTTGTAAGTTGCAGCTGGTCTGTCAGCCACCGGTGACTACAGACTGACTGGATCTTGGACCTGCGGAAGAAGACATCGTCGAAGCCACTGCCGTTTACCCCCACCTTTTGACGGTTGCATCGCCCCATGGATGATCCTCGCGGTAGCAGGCCTAACAGAGGAACCACAAGGAGCGGGGGAGAGTTCGGAGTGGCCGGGGTGCGGCGCTGTTTGCCGTATGGAGCGGTTTGCGGTAGCAAATTTGGAGGAAAAATTGAGAGGAACAAGTCTAACAGAGGCGGCGCGGTTCCTGCATGTCTTGCGGTAGCCTGTGTTAGCACCATTGTTCCGACATGTTGACCCGTGTCATGGCTGGTGGCTGCTTCGGAGATGGCTCTGGTTGTCGTAATCGCCCCCAAGGGCTTACCATTGGGCGCAACGATCTCCCCTCACCCGTTCCGTCCATCCCATGCCGCGGGGGGATGTTATGTGTAACGGGTTTCCGGAAAACGAGGGTTCTGGGCGCAAGTGGTTGGTGCGCATTGGCGGCAGGGCGGAGTCTTTATCTCTGGTACTGTACGTGATTCCGTCGTCTCCTGTCGCATATGTACACCGGTACGGCTAGTTGGCATACATAGTACAGTACGGTCAGACCGCGTAAAGTGAGGGACGCAGACAGAGTTGCGCAAGAGGTCCAACTCTTATTGTGGACGAGGTGGGCCCAGCTGGATATTTTTTTCTGCCTGCGGTGCCAGCCATCTCTGGCGCATCGGGAGAGAACACCGAAGGACCCCGTCCCCTCTCACGCTTGGTTAGTGTAGACTCAGACACTCGAGTGCCTGCTGACAAAGTCCCCCATCGCGGCCTTGGCTTCCCGACTCTTTTCCACCTAGTCGACTGGTCCTTTTTGCCTGTCGCTGAAGATTCGGTGCTTGTCTTCCCTCTTTCTCTCTCTCCCCACTTGTTGCTTCGACTTGCTTGCAGATTGCACTCTGCAGGTTCGCGCACATAACTGACGGGATTGACACTGCCTCGCTGACGCCAGCCTACTTCTCTCCTGGATTCGGCTGCCCACGTTCGCCCGTCAACCTGGCCAAACCAACGCGGACAAGGCCGGATATGCCCCATGCGCCCTAAAGTGTTGCGGCGCAATCCTTCTCTCTCCAGCATCCCGGCCGGCTGAGGCAATTCGCTCGCCTGCCTTTTACTGCTCGCTGCACGCCCGCTCATGAGTGAAATGACCACCTCCTGACACCAAACTCGGCCAGGCTCCTCACGGCTCCATCCTAAAAGGGCCCAGATAAGAGCAACACCTTCGCAATCCATCAAGTAAAAACGGGAAATGTGGAGTTCCCACGACCATGGGACAGACATGCTAGACACCAATGCACGTCCGCAACAAATGGCCGAGGAGGAAGCGAACTCGGTCTTCAGCCACGACGAAGGCTCGAGTGGTGATGACACGACCAACAATGGCTCGGCCGGTGCCCCGAGGAAGCGTAAGAGGGAGAAGCACCAAAAGACATCGTACGTTGTGCGCTTCTGATTGTGTGACCCCCCAAATGAGATGCATGGCCATGGACTGACGCGAACCCAGATGCGAACTATGCAAGGCGAGAAAGGTCAAGTGCGATCGTGCAGAGCCCGCATGTTCTTGGTGTGCCCGTCACAACCGAGCATGCGTCTATCTTGAGAGGCAGAAGCCGGGTAGTCGCATCGGTTTCAGTCTCGAACTTGAGGCAAAGGTCAACAGGCTCGATGCCCTCCTGCAGGCTCTTGGCCGTCGTGTAGAAGACCACATTGCCCATGACCACGTCGCCACATCACAGGCTCATTCGCCAACTATTAGCAATCAGGCGTCGTCTCAAGTCGAGGGCTTCCGTCCTGATGGGAATGCTAATGGCGTCAGCCCGGCTCCCGGTCTTCCAAGAGCAGCGTCCACAACGAATGGAAGAACGTCAGCCTTCTCGAGCCCTTTCTGGCAGGGTAGTGATGGTCAAGAAGCGCTCCAGAATGGCAGTCGAACTTCAGTGCAGGCTCTCTTGAACCTTTCCGCAAGCGAGTCTTTCAGTCAAGCAGGCGCACCGCCCAGCATCAACGGGGCTCGAAAAGATGCATCTTCTCTCCCGACTGTCTCAGAGTTCCCGCCCCACGATATGCTTTACACTCTCGTCGACCTGTACTTCAAACACTGCAACACGTGGTGTCCAATTTTGGACCGTAAGACGACATTCGGTGCCTTTTTCGGATCGACCTCACTCAACGAAGCCGATCGTGTCTTGTTACATGCAATAGTAGCAACGACGCTCAGGTTCATGAAAGACCCGCGGTTATTGCCCGACATGCGGTCACACTACCATGCGGTGTCGAAACACAGGGTACAGATATACGCAATGGAGAACGTAAGCGTTGCCGCGCTGAGGGCCCTGGTTATACTTTGCCTGGACGAGTTGGGGACGTCGAATGGTCCTCGCGGTTGGAATATGCTTGCGTTGCTCGCGCAGAACGTGAGACAGCTGGAACTCTGCGAAGAGAGCAGTGTGTATCTCACGGCTGAGGCGGAGGAGACACCACACACAGGCTCGATCCGCAGAGTGGCCATGGGTCAACCAGAATCATGGATCGAAGACGAGGGCCGTCGGCGGCTTTGCTGGATGGTTTATCTACTCGATCGATATGCGACGATAGCGACGACGACGTTCGACTTCATGCTCGATGACAAAAAGATGAAGCGCGGCTTGCCCTGTTCATACGACCTCTTCTCCAGAAACGTCCCCGTTGAAACGAAGTCATGGGGTCCGTCATCCGATCAGACCGAGAGCCCTACTATTAACAAACCCGAAAATCTCGGCAGTTTTTCGTACCACTGCGAAATCCTGCGTATACTTAGCAAAGTCCACGACTTCCTCAAAACGCCCATCGACGTGACTTCATCGTCAGAAATGGCCATTTGGCGGAACACGTATAGGTCGCTGGACGGTGCGCTCGACAACTGGTTGCAGAGCTTGCCCAGCGAATATAGCAGGATATCGGCTCTGTGCCACTCAGATCCCGCGAGCCGTGTCGCCAACTGGTTTATGCTGCATAGCGCATACGTCACGTCTGTCGTGCGTCTGCATTCCTCGGCTGCGTACCCCACTGTGAGATCTCACATCTTCGTCCCATCACATTATGCGATGCAGAGATGCTTGTCTGCTGTGCAAAGTCTTGGTGATATTGCGCAAGACGTTTTCGAGGCCAATGGTCTAGATCTCTTGGGACCACCATTTGCCTTTTCGCTGTGGGTAGCGGCGAGGTTGCTGCTCATCCACGCTGCGACAGTCGGGTGTCCCGTTGATCCCAAGATTGACTTTTTCATCGAAACGCTTCGCCATGTTGGACAGTACTGGGAGGTAGCGAATAACTACGCCAAAATTCTCGCTCGGGTGGTACAGCGAGGGCGTCAGGGCGACATGAGCTTCACCGCCATGAGAAAGTGAGTCGTTCCGTATGCCGTCTTTGCCTTTCACCCGAACTTTGCTGATAGCAATGCCTCTAGGAGTGCCCACGACCTGGTAACCTTGACATCTTCCACCCGTCGCTCCGGCATGGAGCCAACATCGACTCAAGTATCTTCGTTAAGCGAACTGGACAACATTGACGTTTTCGACTTTTTCAACTATCCCAAAATGTCTGAGCCGAGCTCACGGGCGACAAACGGCCAGACAAATTTACTACAGCCACAGGTGATGAGCGGGTTGGGTGGCGATTCAATGAGGACCACCGGGGTGCCAGACCCAGAGTCGGATTGGCTGGGCTTCAGCACTCCATTCAACTGAGGCTGATGCGATGGTTTGAATTTCCTTGTTTATCTCCTTGACAGATCAGATGTTCTTTCCATTGTTAGACACCAGATATTATGGAAACTGGGCCGGCGCTGGAGGAATTGAGGGACTTGGTTGAGGCGTTCGTGGGGCATTGTACCTACCACATTGATGGATCTTCGTGTGGCTTCGCGGTACAGCCGCAATCAAGCTGGCAGATCGGCCCAATTGAAACTGCTGATCCCCGCACAAGCTGACGAGCTCCGATCCACTTGACTGGCTGAGCCACAGGGAAGTCCGTGGGTGCCATGACGTTGAAACGCTGTTCCTGGTTCTCCCCCATCATCTTCAACCTCAATTCTTCTCCAGACCTTGACAGATGCATCGATTGTTAGAGGCGACGATACCGATACATTGAAACATTTTGAAGAAATTGATCCAGTCATGGCGCCGAATCAAGGTCTTGTGCATCCCACGGAATACGACATCAAGGACAGCAATGTCGAGCTGATTGGCACGGACATTGATCACAAAGTGAAATACAACTCCGCCGCCACTGAGCCAGCCTGGAACGAAGGCGAGGTTGGCGAGGCCGTCGGCCTTCATGTTTGGCGCATCGAGGATTTTGAGGTCAAGCCGTGGCCGAAGGAGAAGTACGGTCAGTTCATGGATGGCGACAGCTACATCATCCTCAACTCGTACAAGGTCGGCAGCAAAGACGACGCTGAGAAGCTAGGCCATGACATCTTCTTCTGGCTTGGAGCCCACACCTCGCAGGATGAGGCTGGGACCGCGGCGTACAAGACCGTAGAACTCGACGAGTTCTTGCATGGAGCCGCGACACAGCATCGCGAGCTGCAGTCGGCGCCATCTGATGAGTTCCTGGAGCTATTCCCTCGCATCCAGATCCGCTCCGGTGGCGTACAATCTGGCTTCCGTCATGTTGAGGATGAGGAGCCCAAGGAGGAAATCCTCACCCTGCTTCGTATCTTTAAGAACCCGTCGGTCGGCGCCAACGGCGTTGTGGTTCATGAAGTCGAGCCGACGTGGCAAAACTTGGACGAAGACGACGTTTTCGTGCTCGACACGGGCGACAAGATCTGGCAGTGGCAGGGCAAAAGCTGCAGCCCGATGGAGAAGGCCAAGGCTGCCCAGGTTGTGAATGATATGACGCTGGCGAAGCACATCGACGTCGAGGTTCTGGCTCAAGAGGAGTCGAGGTCTCGCGTCATCGTTACTCTTCTCGGAGGCGGCGACGACACACCTCAGTCTGGATTTCACTGCCCTAGACCAGTCAGGTCAGCATCCAAGGCCCATGCCGGTGAGCGACCGCAGAAGCTGTTCCGGCTCAGCGATGCCTCTGGGGAGCTCAGATTCGACCTCGTCAAGGACGGCAGCAAGGCTGCTCTCTCAGACTTTGAAGAGCAGGACGTCTTCCTGTTGGACGATGCCGGCCGAGCCGTCTGGGTGTGGGAAGGACAAGGTGCAAGCAGGGGAGAGAAGGCCAACTGGCTTAGAGTGGCACAGGCGTATGTCAGACAATTGCAGGGAGGATCCGAGGCCGAAGAGGCCCATCTCACGCCTGTGGCCAAGGTGACTCAGGGCAACGAGAGCAGGGCATTTTTGAAGGCCGTCGCAGTGTAGAACAGGCGCCGTGTCGATGCTCGGTCATGAGGGGAGGGAGTTGTCGGTCCTTGGCTCAAGGATTAGGTCGTAGATTATGTCGAAATGAGAGTCTTGCTTTGGTTGCTTTGGTGTTGTCTGGTTGTCCGATGAAGTCGAACCCTTCTATTCTGAAGATGCTTTCACGTTCTCAAGGCTGTGGCAGGTGGGGTAAATGCACAGAAACAGGTGCGATGACGATGGTGGATGGTTCGGGATGTTTGGTCGGAACCTATTCTGGCAGCGGAGGACGGAGGTTACCTAGGTTGGCATCCGAGGAAAACCAGGTAATGGAGGCAGGAAGTCACGCCTCGTTGTGCCTGTCTCCAAGCGTGGCATGTGCTTGCCTCATGAGAGGAGGTGCGGCCCACCGCCGTAAGCAGGAACATCTTCACAGTACTACGTACGTAGGCGCTAAAGTGGCAAGAGTAACCCAGAAAACGTCAGCTTGATCCCAACATCAGGTCCTCCTTCCCATCGACTGCCGACCGAATCTAAGACCATGAAAGTAACTTCAACGGCCTTCGTCCTTCTTTGAAGGGATATCCTGAGACATCCTCCGCTAGGACCGGAAGGTATCTCACGACTATTTTTGTTGGTCAGTCGCCGTCAGCGTATGGTGATGGAAGCCAACCTCGATGCGTGAGCTGTCCCTCGGTAGCCGCTAGAGATGGAATTCAAAGAGCATCACAAGCGCAATCCACCAATATTTTGCACATTACCCTATGCTGAAATGAGTACACCGCACTGGGACCAGTCACATACTGCACTCTCTTTGCATAAGTATAGATATTAACGGACAATGCACAATCACAGAAGCAGGCCCAAACTCGTCCGAGAATGGAAGCTATGGTGTCTTTTCCCCTTCCCATGAACGCCTCTCAACCATCATTCACCCGTCATCAGTCCTCCTTCATCTCAACGTGGGTATCGTAGCCGCGGGCGGTTGACATTGAGGCAATCCAAGGTGACCTCCGACCTTTCCGTACCACATCGGGCTTCGCCCCCCGCACACGCTTCTCATATCAGACAGGTCCGATCAACTGGCGAAGGACGCTGGGTCGACCACCCTAATTCCCGCCGAATTGGCCCATGATCTTTGAGATATTATCCGCGGCTCTGGCCTGGTGGCACGCCTTACTGGCGGCGATATCGCCGCTGCGGAACGTGGCGCCGTATGCGCTCGGCTCGTCAGACGCTGGTTGGTTTTGGTACATGGAAGTCCGTCGTTGGGTAGTCTCTTTGCGAGATTCCTTGGATGAGTACTTGTGTGACGCCTTCGACGAGGAGTGGCTAGCACCCGTTGGATTAGCATGCCGGGCTGATGCGCATCAATTCTCTCCTATCCCTCCCCGGAGACGGATGCTGTACCCGATGTAGGCTGACTGTCCAGAATGCGCCATATTTTCCAGTGAGGATGGATAGTGACTGTAGCTTGGTAGACGGGTGTTCGTCGTGAATGACTGATCTTCAAGGAATCACGTAGCTGTACGTGAGGTTGCGATTCCGGTCGTTGGTAGGTGTGTGTGTGTGTGTGTGTGTGCGTGTGTGTGTGTGTGAGAATGTCCAAGATCCTCAGGAACCAAACCGGCAGGTTTAAATACGGCCGGCTTGCAAAGCGCGCGAACCATTGCTCGCCAAAGTCGTGGTTTCAAGGAGACAAAAATACACTTCCGACCCTCGTATGGCCGAGATCGACCAGCAAGGCGCCACTTGCTGTTGCGATGGGGTTGAGACGGGTAGAATTCAGTCATTCAACGAATAGAATTGTCGAATGTCGAATGATCCAAACAAGTCGAGTCGGCCGAATTCCAATGCCGCAGCGTGGGAACGGCTGGGGGAGGCGTGGCTTCGTGTTGAGAGAGAGTCGGTTGCTTGCAGGGGAGGGCAGCGGGCGGCGGCATCGAAGGATTCAAGTGTCGGTACACTCGTCGTCTGTTTCTTGTTAGCGTCTTCAGTCTGGTAAGGCGACTGTCCCGCCCCCGCTCCAAGCACACAACGGCGCCGCAGGTGGAATATCCGTAGTGTGCCTGCGGGGTATTTAGAAAGGCAGTCAAGTTGGTGTATCGGGGTGTTACGGCTGCATTGGATTGCAAGGCCGAGACTGTGCTGCTTTCTGCAGTGGTTGTAGCATGTGTTTTGATAGCATCCCCCACCTTGAGCGAAGATGCTCAAGCCCACTTGATCGATATACCGGACATTTGATTACCTGCTCAAAAGTTCGGTAGTATCGGACTTTGATACTAGGGACGGCTTTCGCTTGAAAGAACTGTGACGGCGGAGGAACTGTCGTTCTACCAGCATAGATGCTTCCGAGGATCTTGACATCACAGCACGTTCGTACCGAAGCCTGATGCTACCGAGGGCCTGCAACAGTCTAGCTCGTCGTTGCTTACAATAACGAAAGCAGTCCCACCCCGCTTGACAGGGTAACGGGTTGTTGCACAAACCGAACGAGTGTGCTGGACTTGACTTCAAGTCGGTCGATCACTCGGACATCCCATTGGCTTTGCAAAAGTACCGCGCATGAGAGACTCGCTGCCATGCGGAATTGGAGTCGTTCCGAGTCGAGATTGGCAACGGACTGCGGCCACAGGTTGTGATACAGGCAAAGCAAGGCCAACTTTGGCAAGCATCAAGAGTCTGTGTAACGCGTCTCTGCGAGACAGAGAGTGGTGGAGATTCGTGGTGTGCGCTCATTCAAATGGAAGTGGAAAAACTCCACAGCCAGTGCGGGTCAGCTGTAAGCGCTGCGTGATGTGATGAGCCGATTCGCATTGATGAGGCGCGTTGCCGAGAGTGAACGAGACCCAATCGATGAGGAAATGGTCATGGTGGAGGTGGATATGTTCAGAAGTGTTGAGAAGGAGAGGGCGCTTCCAGGTTGCAGATGATGCAAAGTGAGGCGGCGAGAGGCCTCCCCGCTTGGCTTCCGCCTCATTGCCCGTCGCCTCGTTTGCTGCCTCGCGATGCCTTGTTGTGTCGCCTGACAAGGCACCGATGGTTCGCGGTCGAGAAGGCATCTGAATTGCCTCGTATGAACGAAGTAGTCCGCCGTTGGGTCGCCTAGGACTTCGGTTCGCCTTGCTGATTCTGGCTGCTGCCTGGCCAAGTGTTGCCGAGTGCGCCCAAGTGGCCTGGTTGATCCGGAGATGTCGACCATGAAGACGTGTAAAATCTGTGACAAAGAACCCTGGGATTCTTGGAAAAGCGACTGGAGTTGGCGTGAATACCTGTAATCGAAAGCAAGAGAGTCCGGTTGAAAAGTCTGGATATGAAGGGGAGAAAATGGGGGGGCCTAGAGAGTTCAGCCGAGAGATTTCAGTGAACGAAACCAGGAGGAAATGAATGAAGTTGGGTGTGGCTTATATGTCGATGTCTAGCCGGCCCAAGAAAATGGAGTGATCCGAAAACCCGGAGAAAGGCAGTCATTCGGGAACAAAACTCAAGGCAGCACAATAAGGATCATGAAATGGGAATAACCCTCTTTAAGAAACGAGCTTGACCGCGAGCCGGTGCATGCTGCCATCACCCGTCGGTTGGCCTCCCGCATAAGAATGCATTGTTGTCGCATGCCTGAGGCACACACACATGAGGCGCACATACAGTTTCTTGATGCGGGAGGCCGGCCATCCGACCCCAATCTTTATTACATAGTCGGTTGGCGTCATTGGCTGGAATACGGACAGGATGAGGACACCATTTAGGCAGCAGGGCAGAGCCCATCAATTCTCAGCCCTACGGCGCAAACGCCGACTGTGCTGCCAACAAATTACCACCTCGAAGTGACGCCCATCGACACCCGTCACGGCCCTTCCTGTGCCTGTGTTGGTGGCTGTGCTTGCGGATTGGCCTTGAAGGGTCCATTGTCCGAGCAGCAAAAAGGGAGCATGGTCTCCCGCCTTGTCAACCAGCCAGTCCTATCTACAATGTAGTCGGCTTTATCTGCAGCACGCCTCCGGAGTGCCTCGGTGGAACGAGAAAACGAGAACCCTGCACTCTGAGAACCTCGTGGAATGGTGGATGGCCGTTTTCGGAAAACATATGCACCTCTGGGAAACGTGTAACAGGTATGTAGTACATGAATGAAGATCAATCAAAGTCCATTGAATGATTTGAGGATCAAGTAAGCGCATCAATTGAGGTAATGTGCTTTTCCATGCGGCCGCCATGTTCCTGTTCGGATTGCCTCACGCCAGCCGCGATCCTGATCCATGATGAGACATGAAGGCGGGCTTTTTTTTTTTTTTTTTTTTTTTGGCAAGACCCG